GCGGATATAAGTAACTTTTTTAACTTTCAATGTTTAAAAATGGCTTCTTCAAACCAGATTTCAAATGTACCTTGCCAAAGTTTTACCAAATGTGAAGATAAAGTTTTTATAAACATACTGTGCGAATTACCAATACTTCTACAAAAAAGCCAAGTTCCAAACGTTAAAATAAAGAAAAACACAGCATTTTTAAAAATGCAAGACCAAATGTTCCAAGCAACAGGAACAAAAATTGATATAAAAACATTGGCGAAAAAAATTACTAACATGAAGACAAGGTTAAAAAAAAAGTCTGATATCCATTGAACTAGAAACAAGCCTATGAAACTTTCAGCGATTGAAGTCAAACTTGCTAATATTTTAGATACAGAAAAGTTCACACAAATTGATGGTTTAGATACAGAAAAGTTCACACAAATTGATGGTTAGTAAAGAAAACTTTATTTATATACTTACGTACATATTATTATTAATATTGTAATATATATATATATATATATATATATATATATATATATATATATATATATATATATATATATATATATATATATATATATATATATATATATATATAATATATATGTATACATTTATATATAAATTTATTATATAAATATAATATATATAAATATAATAAAATATATATATAAATATATATATATATATATATATATATATATATATATATATATATATATATATATATATATATATATATATATATATATATATATATATATATATATATATATATAACATGCTTAGGGGCAATATCAGCAGGCATAGTTCAAACTCCCTGTGCTGAAATGAATTCTGTATTCAGCTCATTAAAAAGGTAAACTATATTTTCATTGCCACCATCAGTTGAATTTCTTGGTAATGTTAAAAGTAGTTGCAGTAAGTTACTATTGTGGTTTTTTATTTTTTAATATGGTATATTTGCAGTACACCTGTTTCCAATATAATTTTATTCATTTTATATTTTATGTAAAACTATTAATATGTTGGTGATTTTAATCTACTTAAATTGATTTATTTCTCAGGGAACACATCTTCTCAAGCATCGAGGTCAATTTCAAAAAGATTAAAACTACCTGGTGAAACTAAAGAAACAACAAAATGGACGAATACATAGCTTCAGCGTGTGGTCATGCTGGAGCAGCTAAAATATTATCGGTTAAAAAATTTAAAGTTGAAATATACTACACCCCAACATGTATTAAACGAAGAGGAGATAGATATTGTTGTTGATATAAACGTTGATGGAAATAAAACATAAAAACATGAAAATAAATTTTGGTTACTGTTAAATGTACAGTAGTTTTAAATTTACTTAAATTAATTTTTTTACCATGTATTACATTTTCAACATTTAAAAACGTTATACATAGTATTAAAAGAAGGCTGAAATAATTTAAATTAATAGAAGTATCTTTATACATTTCAGTAACTAAAATCTTCTTTAAAATGTCACTTTTTTATGTTTTATTTCAAGTTAGTTTTTATGTTTCATTTTATTTCTTAAATGTTAGTTATAACTTATTTAAAAATATTTCTTAAATTTATAGCATAATATAATTATATTACCCAATAATGCATATTTTAATATCCTAATAATAAAGGCTTACTACATAAAAATATTATTATATCAAGTCTATAACATATTATAACTGTGAATAAGATATAAAGTTATAAACATATTATAACTGACATTTGAGAAACTTTTGTATGTTTTACTGTAAATAAAACTTGAAAATGTTAGCCCATCTTAAAAATTCTTTAAATTAGTTATTTATCTTAGAAAACTTTGAAAGTATATTTTTTATAACATAAACAATACAATAAATTAAGAAATAATGTTGTTTTCAATTTGTTACAAATAAAAAGACATTGCACTTAATTTAAAAGACATTGTCTCTTTATTTAATATTGCCAATGCACTATAATTTCTACGCTGCTGACCAAGTAAACAAAGTTTCTTTAATTACAGGAACGATTTCTTCCACATTTTTATCCTCGAAAATTGTTTAAAGTTTTTGCAATATCGTGGAGTATAAAGCTCGCAGTGATACATGTAGCAATCATCTTCGGCTTAATTTTTACCTATAAAATTATCACACCGCAGATACTGTTGAATCAACAGTAACTGTATAACAACAGGGATGCGAAATCCTAAAAAGAACTACGGATATGAAAGGCACAAAAAGATTATTTCTTCCTTGATTTTGGTTTCCAGGAGCTCTAAAAATAATAATAAGTTTATGGACTACTTAAAGGAATAAAATTAAGACTTTTAGGTAAGAGGAAGAATCATTTTTTGAACCTGGAATCTTTGTGTATAATGGCGGCAAGGACTCCGGGCTTAAAAACAATAAGTTTCAAGTCATTAAATCTTGCGAATGTTTTACTTATAGCAAATCGTAAGTCAACAAACATGTTTTGAGCTTCTTGACACTACAGACTTGGAAAAAGTAGAGATATAAATCCGGAGTCCTTTTGGGACTTCGCATCCCTGCTGTTGATTGAATCAAACAATTTTCTACTATTAAGCTCTTCAGCAAATTCTCCATAGGGTTTATCAATTCTTGCATGGGTGCAATCAATAGCTCCTATTGTACAGGAATAGCCTCTTTCGTTTGCCCATTCCAGTTTTGCTCTTGAAATTTGTTCTTCCGTATGTGGGAAAACTATATACTGAAAAGTCTTAATCAAAATATTTTGAAGCGTCAAAGAGTTTTTAAAACAGTATTGCTAAAATTATATTCCAAAAAAATAAATGTATCAAAAACGTGCTAGTATAATTATAAATAAATGCATAACGTAAAAATATATAGATATATACATCAATAGTCAAAAAATAGTAAAATATATAGGTAATATAACTAAATCAATGCTCGATTATCAAAAAAAAAAAAAAAGCAACTATTATAGGTGCTCGTAAATTTAGAAGCAATTGCTCGCCGTTTTTTGAGTTGAAGCTTTTTTATTCACGCGCTTTTCTCATATGTGAGCAATCGCTAAACTATTGAGCAAAAGCTCATGAGTAAAAGCTTTCGCGGAAAAAAGAGCAATTGCTCAAAATTTTTATTCACGTAAAGTTGAGCAATTACTCCAAAAACGCTGAGTAAAAGCAATTGCTCTTTTTTATTCACCCGGCCTAATAACTTATTTGATAATACTTTTATGTAGTAAATGTTCATTATTAGGATTTTATTAAAATATGCATTATTTGGCAATACATTTTTATTATGCTATAAATTTTAGAAATATTTTTAAACAGATTATAACTGACATTTAAGAAATAAAATGAAACATAAAAACTAACTGGAAATAAAAAATAAAGAAGTGACATTTTAAAATAGATTTTAGTTGCTGTGAAATGTATAAAGATACTAAAATTAATTTAAATTAATTCATCCTTCTTTTTATTACAATGCATAACGTTTAAAAATATTGAAAATGTAATGCATGGTAAAAAAATTAATTTAAGTAAATTTAAAACTTTTGTATATTTAACAGTAACCAAAATTTAGTTTCACGTTTTTATGTTTTATTTCCATCAAAGTTAATGTCAACAACAATATCTATCTCCTCTTCATTTATATGGTGGGGAGTAGTATATTTCAACTTTAAACTTTTCAACCGATAGTATTTTAGCTGCTCCAGCATGACCACACGCTGAAGCTCTGTATTTGTCCATTTTATAGTTTCTTTAGTTTCACCAGGTAGTTTTAATCTTTTTTGCAATTAACCTTGATAGTTGAGAAGATGTGTTCCCTGATAAAAAAAAAATCAATTTTGGTAGATTAAAATCTCCAAGATATTGATAGTTTTACATAAAATATAAAAAGAATAAAAGTATATTGGAAACAGGTGTCCTGCAAATATACTCTATTAAAGAATAAAAAACCACAATAGTAACTTACTGCAACTACTTTGAACATTACCAGAAAATTCAACTGATGGTGACAATGAAATTATAGTTCGACTTTTTGATGAGTTGCTGAATACAGAATTCGTTTCAGCAACACTTGAAGTGGGAGTTTGATCTATGCCTGCAGATATTGCCCATAAACATATATATATATATATATATATATATATATATATATATATATATATATATATATAAAGTATATGTATTTATATAAACATATATATATATATATATATATATATATATATATATATATATATATATATATATGTATATATATATATATATATATATATATATATATATATATATATATATATATATATATATATATATATATATATATATATATATATATATAATAATATGTACGTATATAAATAAAGTTGTTTTTACTAACCATTAATTTGTGTGAAGGTAGGATTCTTTTCTGTATCTAAAAGATTAGCAAGTTTGACTTCACTCGATGAAAGTTTTATAGGCTTGTTTCCAGTTCGATGGATGTTAGACTTTTTTTTTTAACGTTGTCTTCATGTTGGCAACCTTTTTCGCCAATGTTTTTGTGTCAATTTTTGTTCCTATTGCTTGGAACATTTGGTCTTGCATTTTTAAAAATGCTTTGTTTTTCTTTATTTTAACGTTTGGAACTTGGCTTTTTTGTAGAAGTATTGGTAATTCGCACAGTATGTTTATAAAAACTTTACCTTCACATTTAGTAAAACTTTGGCTAGGTACATTTTTTTCACTTGATTCAATTGAAATCTGGTTTGAAGAAGCCATTTTTAAACATTGAAAGTTAAAAAAAGTTACTTATATCCGCAACGGCATAGCTTTTACTCAGACACAAAAGCAATTGCTTATGAACATTAGCAAAACTTTATTCACACATTTGTGAGCAATTGCTATTGCGGCGAGCATTTGGTTTTAGCTTTTACTTTTACTCAAAGCAATTGCTTTTTTGAGCAATTGCTCTTTTTTATTCACCCGGCCCATTATTTTGATAATTTTTTTGGGATTTTTAACCTACTTTAAAACATTTTTTAATTAAATGTTTTCTTACCTTTTCATTTTTGGGTATAACCATTTTTATTTCCATTTCTTTCTCAATTAACAAAATTTTATTTTCAAGTTCAACCATATTTGATGTTGTTAAAAACTGGTTTTGTGTTAAAAAATCTACCCGTGCATGTTGTTCTTTCCTCATTTCCTGCATAGTATAACATATTTCACAATATTTATAAAATAATAATAACAAAAACTAAGAAAAAATTTATATATATTATACAGACCAATACGAATAAAGTATAAGAGATATTCAGATTACATTTATAAGCATATATTTGTATTCACAAATCAAAACTCCACGCAATTCTTTTCTACCAACCTACTGCTAGAAAAAGGACCTAATACTGAACGTTCAAAAGACGTTTAAAAGACGTTTAAAGCGCATTAAAAACCTTCAAAAGATGTTCAAAAATCGTTCAAAAAACGTCTTTTTTACGTCGTGTGCCCTGTGGGAATATTTTCTTAAATCCAATATTTTCATAAATCTTTTTTTTTTTTTGCCTAACTAGTGAGAATAGTTTAAAAAATGAGATAGCTCAGAGTTATGAATATGATTCAAGATATGAAAATGTACGCGACCTTGCTCGATGCGAAAAGTTTAATTGCAATAAAAGTTTAAAAGAAATTAAAAACAACACATTTAGAAATTAGTATTAATAACATCAAAATTAAATAAAAATATTTATATATTTGGTATTACTTTGAACATGCTAAATAATATCATTAAAACAAGTAACTTAGTGTGTTAAGAACCAGACAGTGATTAATACCATATTATAGTAAAACGATACATAACAATGAGATTTCTGCACACATAAATACCAATCTTGAGTCAGACATTGAAATATTTTAAAATTTGATTTATTTATTTTATTTCATGATAACAGTAAAATTGCAACAAATGTTAAAAATTTCTAAGTTTTAATAAATATACTACTTACTATGTTGAAAAAAAAAAGAGGTAAACATGTTCAAATCATAAATTTTCAATGACGAAAAAGCTACAAAATATATGAATAACTCAAATAGTTTAAAAAACATAAAAAGAAATATGTTTTGTAAAACTTTTAATCAATTAAATATATAAAACGTTGAGTTTTGAAAAAATTTCATATTTGGTTAACTAAGTAATGAAAATGACCATTTTAATGAACTTTATATAAAGACTTATGAAAAGATTTTTGAAAAGTTAAGAAGTTTTTTCTTATTTGATGTGATTTCATGATGCGTCGATTTAAATGTGATTTTGTGGTACGTCGTTTTTTACTTGTGTCTATCAAACTTTATAAATTGATTTTGTTTTTGTAAAGAATTTTATTGAGATTCCGAATCTGGTATTTAACAAACAAATGATTACTAATAAACTGCACCTCAGACATCTTGTAGTTGAATAATATGGAAAAATGTTTTCGAATAATAAATGACTCACTTTTTAATTATCAAATGATTGCTTTCAAATTTACAAATGATTTCAAATTATACACTTTCAAATTATTAAATGATTTTAAATGATATACCTTCAAATTATCAAATGATTTCAAATGATATACTTTCAAATGATCACTTTTGATTAAATGAACTATAGCATATTTTATTTCATTTAAAACAAAGTAAAATATGAAAAAATAAAAACTGTTGCAAAAACAATGAAACTATTTAAAGAAACTTCATACATTTAGTAAATGAATTATTAAATGTCTATTATAAATATCAGGACTACAAAAGTTGAAAGTTTAATTAAGGATGCTATAATAATATCCCATTTTAAATAAATTATAATAAAATTATCTATTTAATAATACTGAACTTATTAGTAGTAGTGCGCTTTCGAGCCTGTTTGACGCGGTACCCTTGGCAGCCATTATAAGCGAGGTAATGGCAAAAAAGAGTTGCAACAACTTTGTTTTATAAGAAAACGTGAATGAACGTGTATCCAAATATCTAACGTACGTAAACTTTAAATTAAGTCATGTTAAAGCATATGTCAAATCATACTGAAACATTTATCAAGTTTTACAATTTGATTTTCATTTGGAAATCGCATTGCGTCAAACTCTCCTTAACTTTAATCTATAACATTTTTTCCCTTGAAAAAACCATTATATTGTTTTAAAAATATTGGTTGAGAACGTGCAAGTGTGGTCGAATCGATGAGGCGCCGAGCTTTATAAGCCGAGGTTCGATTCCTACCACTAGCGACTTTTTTTAATTTTTTTCGATTATATTAAAATAAAAAATATTTTTGAAGTTTTATAGAGATTATATACAAACCAATGTAACAATATTATACACTTTTACAAAACAAAAGATCTTAAGAAAGCTAAAATTTCATAAAACATCATAAAAAACATCACCGGGAGAAAAAATTGTTGCGTATGTGTCATGATTGAGATACCTATGTTATTCATGTGTTCAGGTAATTAGTCCTAATAAGCTGCAGATCGTCTGAAAAAAAAATTTTCTGAACTTAACAAAGAAAAAACCTAATAAGAAAGTCCTACAACTCAAGAAGGTGCTGCTGTGGAGGCAAAAAAATAAAAAAGGTTGTTGCTAGATAAAACTTCAAAACTTTCTTTTGACAAATAGACGTTAATTTTGCTGCATTTACTTTTTTACTATAAATATATAGTGCAACTGTTTTTCAAAACGCCTTAATACGCTTATTTAATAAGCATATAGGTAATAAGTTATTACATATTTCAAGAAACACGCAATAAAAAAACATTGTTAGGAAAAACTCTTTGTTAAAGTTTTTTGATTCAAATAGTTTTTATGAACATTTTCAGATCTCTTTAAAAATACGTATTCAATAGCATTTGTAGACATCGTAACTAACTTATTTTGTAAAAAAATAATTTTTTTTACCTTCAGGCGTTTTAAAAAGCTACATGGATGATATAACAAATATGTTGAAATGAGATTATATATATATATATATATATATATATATATATATATATATATATATATATATATATATATATATATATATATATACATATATATATATATATATATATATATATATATATATATATATATATATATATATATATATATATATATATATATATATATATATATATATATATATATATATATATATATATATATATATATATATATATATATATATATATATATATATATATATATACATATTCTATTGTCGTAATAAAAAGTTAAAATTACTTAATTTTAGGATAATAAAGTAATTTAAAGTTTCATAGGTATTTTACAACGCCTTTGTTAAACATTCTAAACCGAGTGCTAAAAGACGCAATTTAGATAACTATGAAAATAGTGCCTAGCATATTTAACTAGGTAAATCTAGGCATCTAACACCGTTAAAAGACGATTTTCTTTCTTAAATTTTTTTACTAGTAACTTCAGAATTTTTCATTCCAAATAAATATACGGGGTAATAAGCTCTAAGTATACGGAAAAGGTGCGTATGCAAACTTTCATTTTTGCTCATAATCTGTTGCTCGCCAAAAAAAATTTTAAAAGGAGAAATATAGACAAAGTCGAAGTGGAATAGAGTTTTTCTGTTTATGAGAAAAAAAAACTGTTTTATAAATCTCTTATAAGATCTACTTATATAAAATACTTTTATAAGATCAGTATACGGAACCGCGTTTAAAGCATTTTAATTAGAGCAGTTTTATTTTACCAAATAATATTGAAGTTAGAAATAATTTGTATGGAACAATTTAGTGTAGAAATGGTCGCTTTGATAAATACCCGTATTTTACTGGTCCGGAAAGCTTGGGTATACATACAAAGAAAAGTTTAAAAAATGTCGGTGTGAAATAGACTTACAAAGACCCGTGTTTTTACGGGTCCGGTCAGATTTTTTCAGTCAACTTTTTATACCGATGGTCACGCTTCAAGCGGGTATTTAAACAGGTACTAATATCCAAATGGCAATTTACGCAACGTTTACCGTAACATTTAATGTTTATTAAGACTAATTATAATAGAAATTTTTATTTTTTATTGCTTTAAGAAGGAAACAATAAGTATAGTTTTTCTATATGCATATGGCTATTTTTCTACAGCTCACTACAAAATATTTAAGTAAGGAGTAAGTATAGAAAAAGTCGATGCGGAGTAAATTTACCAAGACCCGTATTTAACGGGTCATAACAGCTAGTATAATTATAATGATATAATTTTTAAACTTAATAAATTTTTTTTGCTAAGAATTAAAGTTATATTAAAAATATTCTTATTTAAATTCTAGCTGTCATGACCCGTAAAATACGGGTCTTGGTAAATTTACTCCACATTGCCCTTTTCAAAGGTAAAGTTTAAAATTATCTTAAAAGCAAAAGACTGTATAAAACATAAATAAATGCTTTAATCAAATTTAAAAAGAAGTTTCGCAATGCAAGTAAAACTGTAAAACATGATATTACTAAACCTGATATTCCAATCATAATAAAAGAACTCAACATACAGTTTCGTTCAAAAATACACCTTCGTTTAAAGATACATTTTCGTTCACGTTTTCTTATAAAACAAAGCTGTTGCAACTCTTTCTTGTCATTACCTCGGTTGCAATGGCTGCCAAGAGGTCTGTGTCAATGACGAATAAGAGTTTTTAGAGCACTTAGGAACAGTAACAGAAAAAGAATGAGACTTAATTGATTGACGAGTAACACGAGAATGAACTTTAGTAGATGGCACAAGAGACGCTAGCTCTTTCGAGCAGTGCCCATTATAGTATTTGTAGAAAAGAGAAAGAGAAGCAACATTACGACAATGTGACAGAGGTTGAAGGTTGGCTGCAAGACCAGGTCTAATTATGTTTACAATGCGTTTTATCATCTTGTCTAAAAGAGAATGTCTATATATATATGTATATATACATATATATATATATATATATATATATATATATATATATATATATATATATATATATATATATATATATATATATATAGACATAAATATATATATATATATATATATATATATATATATATATATATATATATATATATATATATATATATATATATATATATATATATATATATATATATATATATAAATACACATATAATATCTCAATTCAACATATTTATTGTATCATTCATGGTGAAGCAGTTTTTCAAAACGCCCAAAAGAAAAAATAATCACTTTGAATTTTTTACATAATAAGCTAGTTAAGATGTCTACAAACGCTATTGAATACATGTTTTTAAAGAGATCTGAAAATGTTCATAGCAGGACTTCAAACCATCCGCAGCTTATTAGGACTAATTACTTGAGCATATGAATAACACAAGTATCTCAATCATGACACATACGCAACAATTTTTTCTCCCGGTGATGTTTTTTATGATGTTTTATGAAATTTTAGCTTTCTTAAAATCTTTGCTTTTGTAAAAGTGTATAATATAAAAGTGTTTGTATATAACCTCTATAAAACTTCAAAAATAATTTTTATTTTAATATAATCGAAAAAAAAAATGGTGGTAGGAAACGAACCTAAGCTTACTTGTTCAGAAGCCATGCGCCTTATCCACTAAACCACCCTGGCACATTCTCAAGCCAATATTTTTAAAACAATATTATAATTTTTTCAAGGAAAAAAATATTATAGATCAAAATTAAGGAGAGTTTGACGCAATGCAATTTTCAAGTGAAAATCAAACTGTAAAACTTGATAAATGTTTCAGTATGTTTTAACATATGTTTTAACATGACTTAATTTAAAGTTTACGTACGTTAGATATTTAGATACTATGTAATTAATGACTGATGTTATGAGATGTTTAGATATTATGTAACTAATTACTGTACAGAAAAAATCATTTGCTGGATAAAAGACTTCTGCTTGATGCAAGACTTTTTATTTTGATCTTGCATAGTGATATCTCTTTTGTACAGATTGTCAGCAGACAATTAAATTTTAAATTTAAGTATAATTTTTGCTTTAATCTCACATCTGAAAGTGTATAAAATTTAAGCAGCCGTGGCGCAGCGGTTAGAGTTCTGGCTCAGAACCCAGAGGTCCGAGGTTCGACGCCAGCTCCAGCCCAACAAACGACATTGGTACGGAAGGAGGCGTAAACTTCCTGTTAAATGCTCTCCCGTGGTGCTCTATGATAAGACCGTAAAGACTTCTGAGAGCACCTAAATACATACAAAAAAAAAGATACACGTTCATTCACGTTTTCTTATAAAACAAAGCTGCTGCAAAGCGCACTACTACTACTACTATTAAATTCAGTATTATTTTTAAACTTAATAAAAATTTTTAAACTTAATATAAATTTTATACTAAGAATTATTATTATATTAAAAATATTCTTATTTACAAACTACTATGTTTTGAGATGCGCCTCTTTAAGAGTCTATGACAATGTGATTAAATAAGGAGTAATGTCTACCTTTTCTAAAACCTCAATGAAAATCATTTAATCGTAATTTTCAATACTTTTTTTCTATTTTTTTGTTTATTCTATATTCATTTTCTTTGATTTTTTATATTTTATTTAAGTTTTATTTTTAACGCCCGCACACATTCACGGATTTTTTTGCTAGATGCAATTAGTTAGTAATTTTTTATCGCATAGATTTTTTTGCCAAATACTTTTAGAATATTTATTTATTTTGAAACAATTTTTTATTTACATAACTTCTTACTATTTCATTTTTGAGAATGGCAATTTTTGTTTCCATTTCTTTCTCAGTTAACATTATTTTATTTTCAAGTGCAACAACTTTTGATATTGCCATTGAAAGATGATTTTGTGTTGAAGAATTGGCATGAGTATCTTGTTCTTTTCTCATTCCCTGAAAAGTATAAAGTATAACACATCTATAGTATTAAAAATAAAGATAAAAAATTAAATGTTTTACACAGATCAATAAAAGTTTAAATGATATTAAGATTACAAATTTTTTAAATATGTATTTTGATTCAGGGTCAGACTCGCCCGTGGGTTGAGGATTTGTTAAGCGCTCTAACCACTGCAAAACAGCCGTTTTGCAGTGATTAGAGCGCTTGCTTTATTAGCAAGAGATCCAGGGTTCAAAGCGAGCTCTGAACATATTTATCTATCGCTATCGGTAAGAAAGAAATTGTGAACTTCCTATTTAAATGCTTCTCCGTGGTGCTCTGTGACAAGACCCTAAGGTTTTTGTGAGACACCTAAAACAAAAATAATTTCATTTTGCACCCATAAGTTTATTTGTAGCTGAGTACTAGAAAAGAATTAAGCATCTATTTATCAGTAAAAGTCAAAGCGATGTGGAACAACGTCGACTTGTTTTAGGTTGAATAAAAATAAGAAAAAACCGTTTTAGCATAGCAAACAAATGCACAGAAAATAACACGTTGCGACACTGCAATTTAGAATTACTGTATTTTTAAAAGCTTACATTTGGATTATATTTTTTGAATTTTTTTTTTATCTTTTAACATTTCCTCAAAAACCGTACCAAAGATTTCTTGAATCTTTTTACCAACTTTTTTAGCCAATTTATTTAGTTCAACATCGCAGTTTTTATTTGGCAGTCTTTTCAAGATTTCATCTCTGTTTAGTTGAGATATTCCGCAAGCAAAAATGCCAGAAATCAGGTTTTGTTCTTTCAGTTTTTAATACGCAACTATAACAATTATCAAGAAAAATGTGTCTTTGGTATTGTACCTTTGATGCGACTTTCTTTTCACCAACATTCCAGGATTCTCCTCCATTCTCTCAATCGATAGCTGATAAATTGTTGCGAAACTACCAGTATTTAACACCGGAGCTATTCATATAACGTTTGGCCATTAAACAAATATCTAATCGACCAGCAGTCATTTTCCAATCACAAAGAACATTTATGGTCTTCAGTAGGCAAATCTCGCAATCAAAAGAGAGTGCAACTGGATGCCTAACTTGTTTTCGATGTTTACCTTTCATTCTTTTGTACAATGTCCTATATGGACTTTTGAACGTTTTAGATGTTTACAGAAAACCCTTCTAGCAACATTGAAGGGCTGCCGACAACTGAGTTACTGAATGTGAACGATATGTACGACTTCTGGCCTTTCTCTTGTAGGTTATCATATTACGGGTTGTTAGGTATCTATAGGTATATAAAAAAATATATTATTGCAGTATTTTATTACTTTTTAGAAAACGCTTTTTACACTTTCAAACATTTTTCTATAAACCTTTTTCATTTTCATCAATTATACTATGTTTTTTACCTTTCAAATCGATTTTACTAAATCTTAGCAAACTTTTGATTAGTGTTTATTCATTTTAAACCAAGACACTGAAAATAAAAAAGATAATAAAATAATATTACAAAGATATTACAAAAATAAAATACTGGAAAAGTAATTCCAAAAAAAAATTATCAAAGTTACCTCGGATATCAAAGTAATCCGACTCGACGGTAGGCAAACATTTTGCTTCAACTGTATTTTTTTTATTATTTTAGTTAACTAGTACAAATAATTACATTTAAGCACTAAAATTAGATATATGTAAACTTATATAGTTTATATATAAATTATAAAAGCAGATAAAGATAAATGTAAACAAAAATCTAACTTTTTTAGCTTTTTATGTTTCGTTGACCATAATAAATGTTAGGGTAATACAAAATTTGAATTATGTATTACCCTCAGAATTTTTACATGGGTTTATTTTTAAAATAATCAATGAGTGATGGAATTAATAACATTTAACAAGCTTGACAAAGACTATACAAATAAGTAATAGAGCTTTTATTTAAAAAATAGTCTCTTTATAATGTCTAACGGCTAGTAATTATGTACTTTTATTCATTTGCTTAATTGCTGGAAATTCTTTTTCAATTATTTAATAGTCTGAGGCTTTCAGTAATATATTTATATACCAACAACAAAATATATAAATATATTTTGTTGTTGGTCATATTATTGGTAACTCATCTGTCATGTTGCTGACTCGAATCTTTAGGTTTTGGTATAAGCGGTGTGCTAGTTTAGAATATAATCTTTGTTGCATTGGAAAAGGAGCCTTTTTTTTTACTGCACTAATGCCTAATGGGGCACTAATACCTAATGGGATAAGGTACCTCTACCTTTGTAAATCCATATCAGCTGCTGGTTTCTTTTTGCATTTTCTTACCCATTACCACTATCTATTTTCCTTTATATGAACATGTTTTTTCTACAAATTAAATTCTCTGGCATACATTCAACTACAATTTCCCAGTGTTTCTAATATAGTAGAAGTGGTTTTTTAAACAGTCAATCATAGATTGTTTTGCAAGTCTTCAAAGAAGTTTTTGAACATAAGGTAATTAAATTTTACTCATTGTGGTGAAAAGATAATATATACCTAAAGCTTTTCTTTATCAATTTACAAAACACTATGTGAACAATTATACCTGGTGTCCGTTAATTTTTGTTATACTGTATTTTATCCAATATTTTTAGTCCATATTATTAACTTTTATAAACACATTAAGTTGTTTAAAGGTGTCTAGTAGTTTAGAGCAGCAGATTTAATGCTAAAATTTATATGTTGAGGGTGCGTAATTATTAAAAATGATTAACAAGACAGTTTGCTTCTATTCGATTCAGATCAGCATAAAGTTCGTAAAAGCCCATTCTCAGATCATTAATATTTGGCTAACGCTTTATGGCGTAAGAAAAAGTCTACAATTTTTAAAAACATAATAGTCATTAAAAAAATTAATTAATTTGTTTATTTTAAAGACATTTGACACCCAAAAAAATCCAATTTTTTCACCAAAATTTGAATTGCACTCATGAATAAATCAACCATTTTATTTATATAAACTTGTTAAAAATAAACAAATATACTTTTAACGAAGTTATTTATTGTTAATATATATTTTTCACATTATTCTTAGTTGTGTTCTGTTTGTAATACCGTTAATTGTGCATTAAAAATTTAAATAATAATACGCTATTTACACTCGAGATGCCGTACTCAAAGCTAATTCTCAGTCTAACTAAAAGTATGTTTAATTAGCTAAAAAAAAAAATTACGTAAAAAACAAAACAAAAGTTTAGTTTTAATGAAAATCAAAAATGTCATTGACAAAATAAACTTAAATGAGACTCCGGATTGAATTTGGGCGTTATAATTTATAATATCGAAACTTAGTAAAAAGTTATAATTAGAATAACAAAGTCATATTTTTTGGTAATTTTTTTTTAACTGGGTTGTTGTTTTTTTATACCTTTTGTTTTACACTAGAAATAATGTTTTATATGAAACAACTATTATTATACATAACGTATGTATTTAGTACTTTTTCAATAACTTGTTAGCTTTAAAAAATAAATGTATTTGCAGTTTATTTTTGTTTACACTTTTGATTGATGCAAAAGTTATTATTTATTTAAAAAAAAATTTTTTCCTGTTGAATTAATTAATTTGAAATGTATATAAATTATATAACTTTATAAAGGTATATAATATATATATATATATATATATATATATATATATATATACATATATATATATATATATATATATATATATATATATATATATATATATATATATATAAATATATATATATATATATATATATATATATATATATATATATATATATATATATATATATATATATATATTAATTTGATATGTTGGAGAAGTTAAATTTATATTTAATAATTTTAGTAAGTTTTGATAAGTTGGTGATGTAGTTTTTATTCCAGCATATAACAATATTATATTTTGTGGACTTCCAGTAAAAGCTTGCAATGATAAGTAAGAAAGGCCTTTTTTTATTTTAATATATTTGAAAATATTTATTATTATAAAACAAAAATCAATATTATTAAATAGTTTCATGGTTTGCAGTTCTAGTTTTCATTTAAGTTTATTTTGTAGATAAATAAATTATGTTTTGAACATTTTTATAGATCTGTGAAGTGTAGGAACCAACCAGAATGCAAGACAACACATTTTGCTTGTCTCTGTGAAGTTAACAAAAAGGTAAATAAGTTGAAATTATAAAAGTTATTTTAATTTAAATCTATAGTTTGGTAAACAAGTAATCAGAATCAAAAGCATGTCAGAAAAATAACGTAATTAATTTTCTTTGACTTTGGCAACAAATCATTTTGTTATATATATTATTAAGAAACGCATCATTGTAATATAATACAAGAATATATTATATATTGTTTTTTTACTTGACTCCATGTCTTTGTAATATACAATATATTTGTTTTTTAATTGACTTAATGTAAAGTAATTGTTAAAAAGCTCTTAAACATATAATTTTTTATGTTTTGCAATTAAAAAAAGTTTTACATTTTTCAGGTACCACTACTAGAAAGAGAATATTTAAAGGATTGAAAATTGAAAATTGGAATTATTGGAAGATTTCAAATTGGTACGATTGATAAAAAAGCAGTTGCCATCAAAAAAAGAAAACGAGACTGTGAAATTAATCAGCAGATAAGATCTGCTAACTCACTTGCTCCAGAAATTCAATGTGATCATTATATGGATTTTGATTTAGATAATAAAAATGACTCAGAAACAGATCCTGACTATTCAAAACTTATTTACCAAATTTGTCAAAAGCCGCTATTAGGTATGAAATAAGCGATATTGCAACAGCTGCATTGGCAACAGCTGTATTAATTGACTATGGAATTGTTAAAGAAAGTAATAAAGCACAAATAATAACAGAAAAAATTTTTTTTGGGGAAAAAAAAAGAATCAGCAGTATTATAAGCTCTAAACATTTAGCTGACGTTAAAGAATTAGAGGTTATTGGAGTTGATGGAAAAAAGGACAAGTTTACATTGACACATT